TACTCACTCTCACACACACAGACATTACATCGGCATTTATATTATAAGAGGCCAGTCCCACTTGGGTGGATAACTTAAAGGCTACTGGCTGTAGAATTTCCTATAGCACCTCCCCCTTTTTCATTTAAATAAGAGAGTTCTAAGCCTAATACAAAGTTATATACAATAAGAACAAATATCAGGTATAAAAGTTAGAATTACAACCAGCATAAACAACATCAAGCAAGAAACATGTGATAAATGCGTCAATAATTATACTATCCTAAGGAGTTTATGTCTTGTATTATAAATAACTTGGCCAAGTCATGAGAGGAAAGTAACTACAATTATCTAGTCTTCAAACTCATCGAAGATCCGAGAAGGGAAATAATATTACTTGAGTAAGTAGGAAGTGCAATCAAGCAACTTCCAAAATGTGCAACAAGTGACAGAGACAACTAGCTACCTGGGAAATCACCCAAAGTCTCATTTGCAAAGTTGGAGTGACCAACTTTGACTAAAGCCTAGAGTAACTGACAGAACATTTTTAGAGGCAGGAAATTTTTCAAAACCGTCTTACCCTGTCTTGGCAAGATTTGACAGTCTTTTTTCTTGTATCCTGAACCCAGCAGCTGGAAGAGAGAGGGAATGCATGCTTTACATTGACATTTATAGTATAAGAAGTTACACCCAAGTAGGCAGGTAACTTACAGACTACTGGCTGTAGAATTTCCTACAGCAGAAATCCAACAGAGGGCTATTATCCAAAATATATAAGGAATTCAAGAATCTAGATATTAAGAAAGCTAATAAACCAATTTAATATTGTGGTGCAAATATAAACAGAATTCTCAATAGAGGAAATTCAAATGGCTGAGAAACACTTAAAGAAATGTTCAACATTCTTAAACATCAGAGAAATGCAAATAAAAAGTACTCTGAGAGTTCATTTTACACCTGTCAGAATGGCTAAAGTCAACAAAACAAATGACAGCTCATACTGGCAAGGTTGTAGAGTAAGAGGAGCACTCATCCATTACAGGTGTTAATGCAATCTTGTACACCAACAGTGGGAATTAACAGTGGGACAGCTCTTTGGGAAGATGGTAACTGATCTACCCCAAGATCCAGCTATTTCACTCTTGGGCATATACCCACAGAGGATGCTTCATCTTACCACAGAGACAATTGTTCAACCATGTTGATTGCTGCTTTATTCATAATAGTCAGAAATTGGAAACAACTTAGATGTCCTTCAACAGAAGAATTGATAAAGAAAATATCTTTGCACAATGGAATATTAATGAGGTGTTTAAAAAATAAATCATTAAATTTGAGAGCAAATGGATAGAATTAAAAAGAAACATCCTGAGTGAGATATCCAAGAAAGAGAAATATAGATGAAATATTTATTAAATATAGATGTAAATTCTATTATATGTGGATATTAATTGTTAAGTAAATAATAATCAAGCTATAATCCACAGAACCATAGAGGTTAAGTAGAGGAAGAGACTAGAAGGGACTGATCTCATTAGGAAAGGGAAATAGGAGAGTCATGAATGAATTGGGAAAGTTTGATATCAAGGGGAAGGAGGAGGGAAGAGGGAAACAAGGAAGAGATTTCAGGGAGAGATAGCTAAATTTTGAGGTGTAGTATGGAAACCAAACACAATAGAGAATAGAGATCACATTTAAACGTGATCTAACTGAAATCGTCAAACAGTAGGGGAGATAGAGTGCTAGTTAGCCACCTTTTGTCATTAAATGAAGCTTCCAATACCAGAATTGGGTTAAATCTAATTGGCTGTTTTCCAATTTGTGTTTTTATGGGATTCTCGAGTGTAAGTCTCTGTTTCTTGTGCTTACTGTTGGGTTCTTTGACTTCTGTTTGTTTGTTTTGTCCAATTAAAATGTTTTTGTTCTTGTCTTAACTTATTATATATTATTATTTAAAAATCTTTTAAGATAAAAGGATGTAAGATCTCAAAATGGAGTAGAATGCTATAACTGTTTTCTGAACACGACATGACTATGGCACAGATGAACTCACAATAGGTATGGTTTCTTGCTTTAGACCTACAAAACACGAAGCAAAACATGTCTCAATATAGATTAGGGGCTATGTAGATAAACACTGAAGATGGGAGAGTTATTCTTCATTGATGATGTGTCCTCTGGTGGGTTTCCCCAAGCTCCAAGTGGATGGCTTTATATCCATGTACATATAGTAATGGGACTTAGTGAGCTACCAAATGAATGAATGAACAAACAAATAAAAAAATAAATAAGTGTCTTTTGGAGGGAGGCAGCATGTTGGAGGCATTGTGGATTTATGGAGGGAACAGAAGAAAGAATATTATTGTATTTCATGTATACTTGCATGAAATTCCTCAAAATTAAAAAAAATATATTTAAAAGGAAGAGAAAAAAGAAAATGAACCTTAGGTAAAGAATATAATGAAACAGATAAAATCATGTTCAAAAGCCATAAGAATGTAAGTTAATGTCTAGCATACATACGAGATGTCTCTTTAAAGATGAAAATGATTACATAAAAACAAGAGAGTATATTTTTTTCATAAGTACTAGAAGGCTTTTCATATCAATTAACATGAAATACTACTACATTAATATAGTATGAATATACCAAAATATTTGTGAACCATATAAAATAGTGGTCTTTTCTATATTGTGGCTCTGAAATTGCTGATATCATTAAGGAATATATGTGTCTCTTTGCTTTTTGGGTAACTACTCATTTATTCTTCTGGTGTTTTTAATGTTGCGTATATTTATAAGTTTTTTATATAAAAAATCCCTTTGTCTAAACTCTCTAAAGCTCATTTTCTTGGCATTGGTTTTTATTTAAATATTATTACTATAATTAATATATGATTTGATTTTTAAGCTGTGACATCCCTATGAATTCCAAACTAAGGATCCAATTCTTGTATTTCTATTTATTTGACCTATTTTAACCCAATAATATGCTTTAGTACCAATCTCGTTTTGTGGATTTTGATGTTTATCTTTACTTATATCACGAGACATTTTATTGATTTTTTCACAACAAATTCTAACTTGTTCTTTTTGTTGAATAGAAAACTCTATGTATAAATAAATTTATTATTTCACCATTAGTTAAAATATTATCTCATCTAATTCTCAAAACAATATCATTAAACATGTCTTTTTATTTATATCATTTTATTATATTATCATGTATTTCAGTCATATATATAAAAAAAACAAGTACAGATTGCTATGATGACCATTCATCCAACACCAATCAATGACACATCACCCAACATTGTGAATCTGTGTAATGGTACCTCTTGTCCAGGTATTTAAACTTAACTACTCTTTAGAATTTGTTCACTCCCATACAAATTTATGCATATTTATGACATGAAAATACATAGAATTGCTCCTCATCTTTAAATGAATATGGAAATTCCATCACAGTGTGTGTAGTAATGGCATGCATATCAAACACTGAGGTTTGTGTCTTCTGATTATTACCTGCCTGTAATTATTCTTTACAATAATTCTGTAAAGAATTATTACACAATTCTTTGTGTGGCTCTGTTTCTTGCCATTATCATGTATTTTGTTAATTCTTTTTGTTAATCTTTGGTTTTTTTTAAAAAAATAAAGTAAAGAGAATATTTTGGAAATAGCAGGAGAAACTGACACATTACATCAACAAGGAAATAGATTTGAATGATTTTTGACTCTTCCCTAAATATGCAACAGATCTGAAGACCAGCACATTAAAAATGATAATTACATAGAAAGTTGTTGTCAGGGTTTCTGTCCTGCCCAATTCCCACAATCATTAGGTCCCAAAGAAATCACACATAGGTCTACATTAGTTATAAACTGATTAGCCCATTAGCTCCAGCTTCTTATTAACTCTTATAACTTATATAGCCCATTATTAACCCATTATTCTTACATGTGTTAGCTATGTGGCTCAGTACCTTATTCAATGGGGCAGGTTACATCTTACTCCTTTTGTGGTGGGGCTGGGACTTCAGAGGAATGGACTTCTTCCTTCCCAGAATTCTCCTGTTCTCATTGACCAGCCTGTCCTTCCTGTCTGGTTGTCCTGCCTATACTTTCTGCCTGGCTGCTGGCCAATCAGCGCTTATTTAAAACATAATTGACACAATACAGACAATTGTCCACACAAGAAAGTTGTTGGTCTAGAATCATTTAACCAGTAAACAGGGTTTTTCTTCTAAAAGAAGAAATAAACCTTCTTTTAAATACACAAAAGTTTGTATCTAATCCATCTGTGCTATAAGAAAGGGTAGAGGAAGTTGTTCAGGCTGAACAGACTGTCTAAGAAGAAAATTTGATGTGGGGGAGGAATGAAGAACAATGCATGATACATTTATTTTTTTATTTAATTTTTATTTATTTTTTTTATTTTATTTTATTTAATTAAATAAAATTATTTTTTTAATTAAATAAATAAATTATTTATTAATTAAATAATTTATTTAATTAAAATAAACAAAATTTATTTTATTTTATTTAATTAATTAAATAATTAAAATTATTTAATTTTATTTTATTTTTTATTTATTTTTTATTTAATTTGTGTGGAAATACATCACACAAATATATCTGATTATAATCAAATATAGAACACCAGGGGTTATAATGTATGCCTGTATTTTAAATACAGCAATTTTATCATAGTGATATGTCTTGGTCAGTATTTCTATTGCTCGAATGACCATGCAATAAATAGAGCAAACAAACAAATAAAAGCATTTAATTGGGGCTTGCTTACAGTGTCAGAAGTTAGTTTAGTTCACTTTTATCATTGTGGGAAGCATGGTGTTGTGCAAGAAGATACGGTACTGGAGAAGTAGCTGAGTGTTCCACTTGTACAACTAGAGTCACAGTCAGCAGAGAAAGAGAGAACCACTGGACCTGACCTGGGCTTCTGAAACCCCAAAGCCACCTCCCAGTGACACATTTTCTCCAACAAGGCCACATCTCTTAATCCCTCCCAAATATTGCCACTTCCTGATGACTAAGCAAATACATGAGCCTTTTGAAGACATTCCTCTTCAAACTACCACAGATATTAAATTTTTACATGAATGGGTTGACTATTTAACAGCCTATGCAAATCCAAGATTTCTGGACAGTATATGGACTCTAAGTGTATATGAACAATTAAGAACTCCAGAGAGATTCTGAATGGATCACAATCTATGTTCTATAGCCAACACGAATACCTTGCAAATGCAAAAATTGCAGTAAAGCAATCGTAGCTTCTTTTCTTGGTGTATTTATAAAATGCTCTGAGTAAAGCAACTTTGATGGAGAAGGGTTTGCTTGGCTCACAGTTCAAGGTGCATCATGGTGGCTAGAAGCAGCTGTGCACATCATCTAGAGCAACGAACACATGAATATGCTCAATTGTCTGTCTCCATTCATACAGGACAGGATCCCAGTTAGAGACTGATGCCATCCACAGCATGTGGGTCTTCCCACATCTATTAGGGAAATTAAGATAACTCCCTATAGGCATGCACAGAGGCAATCTCTCAAGTGATTCTAGGCTCTGTCAAGTTGTCTATCAGCACTAGTCATTGCAAACACAAATGCATGAATCAAAATAGAATTTTCAAACATATTCTAAAAATATAAAAAAGAGACAAAAGAGAGTAACAATAAAACAAAAAGACATACAGTGAAATAATTGCCCTAAGTCCAACCACATTGCAATTAATAATTATAGCAAATTTTAATGTAGTAAGCTCTTCACTAAGAAGTGAGAATTTTTATGATAAAGTAAAACATGACTTCTCTGCAGGCTATCTATGAGTGACAGAATACCTTAAATCTATGGGCACAGATTGGCTGGAAATGAGTGGGGGAAAGGGATGCTATGCTAAGTAAACACAGAAGGTAGTGAGAGTAACCAAACAACTAAAAACACATTATTCTACAACACGATGCTCATTTTGCAAATAAAGAAAAGGATGCAGCAGAATGTGGGAATCGGTGTGTGCAGAGGTTTTCAGTCTGAATTGCTTAGACTGGATGACATCACTGAAAAGGTGACAGTTAGTTAACTTTGCATGGATAGGATGATACAATCATAATTAGTTTTATAACTCAGACTGCTACTGCTAATGATAGAGATGATAGACCAACCCCTGGGTCATCCCCAGTCAGTATCCACCTAGGTCAGTCCCTTAAAGTCTTCATCCTTGTCTTTGACCATCACTCTTTTGTTGCATAAAAGCACAGAGAAGAAACTGAGCCTCTCATCTCACCTTGTGGGAGAGCTGGAAGCAGGGGCGCTGAGGAAATGTCTTGATGGGTAAGTGCTTGTGTCTAAGCGCAAAAACCTCAATACCGATATCCAGAACCCACATAAAAGTCAGGCAGGTGTGTTATCACACCGCTGTTACCTTAATGCAGATGGGACAGAATCAACAGGATTCCTGGAGTTCACTGACCAGTCAGTCCAGCCTACAGTGTGAGTTCCAGCTTCAGTAAGAGACATTCTATGAAAAATAAATAAATAAAGCAATCGATTCATTAATTAGTGAGTGAGTGAGTGTGTGAGTAGAGGGTGATAGTAGAAAACACTCAAAATTCACCTCTGGCCTACACAGAGACAAAGAGAGACAGATACATACATTGTGTGTCACATCTTCTCTCTCTCCCTCCCTCCCTCCCTCTCTCTCTCTCTCTCTCTCTCTCTCTCTCTCTCTCTCTCTCTCACACACACACACACACACACACACACACAAAGTAACCTGTTGAAAATATTGATTTAGATATGTCAAATTAAACAGATTCTGTTACATTTGAAAAGAAAAAGCATTACTGGAGAGTTTCTACTGTTTTAGAACCAATACTGTATGTTGTGTTCCTTCATAGGTTCTGTGGATACATCCATGAACAAGAAAAAAAAAAACTGAATGAACAGAATGTTTTCATGGAGAAAATGAGAGACTGCTAGAAAGATATGTAATTGGGTAAGTCATAAAATGTATGCTCAGTTACATCAAGTGGATTAAAAATGGAAACAAACATTTGAAAGAATGACAGGCAAGCACCTTCAGGACAAAGGAAGCAACCCGATGAGTCACACAACCAGGTTTATAGTGTGTGAGAAGACTAGGAATGTACGGCCTAGGACTTGGGTGACAGTGTTCACACAGCTAAGGATTCGGCAGTGTAGATGGACATAGTGCTTTAAGAGCAATTGGGGTATAATCAGATCTATATAAATTAAGCTTCATAGAATCACATGAACGATGGGTGTTTTAGACAGGAGGTGGTAAAGCTAACCCACACACTTTGGTCCACATCTACAGTAGACAAGAGTCCTGAATTATGAGAAGCCAGTATAGCATGTGCATTTGAGGAATTCTTCTTAGGTGGATTCAACATGGAATTATGGAAATGCAAACTACTATTTATGACTTGGAATTTACTGTTTATGAGTTGCAATTGCCTAGCATTTAGCAGTGAGGTGGACAGTACTGCTGATGGTCTAAATAAGAAAGGAAAAGGGAATTTGGCATGAGGAGGCTCTAACAGGAATATGAGTTTCTGTTGTTCACATGTGTGTAAGATGCGCACCAGATATAGGGTATGTCAAATGTGTGAGAGACAAAGACATGGAAGCATCAGAAAGAGGCCAGCAGGAGATATGGATTAAAAATCCTGTCTGGGTGGATCTTGTTTGAAATGATGGAAGCAGAAGAGATCTTCTAGGAATTATAAAAATAAAAATAAAAAAAACACAGAAGAAGAACGGCTAAGGACACAACACTGGACACAGCAACATGTAAGAGAGACGAGAAGTCAGTAGCCAAAAAGAGAAGGGTTGATTCCATTTAAAAAATTAAATATACATTAGGACATATTCTTTAATAGACATAAAAAATAGAGATTCAGTCAGGTGGTGAGGACACACGCCTTTAACCCCAGCAGTTGGGAGGCAGAGGTAGGCAGATCTCTGTGAGTTTGAGGCCAGCCTGGTCTACAAGAGCTAGTTCCAGGACAGGTAGGGTTATTACACAGTGAAACCTTGTCTCAATAAACCAAAATGAATAAATAAAAGGGAAAAAGAAAAGAACAAAAAGAGATAATAAGTAAAAATGGAAATTGGAAATTTAACTAGAAATAACAGGAATAGACAAAACTAAATATACTGTCAGAAATATCACTCAGTCATTTTGGGGGGAAAAATCAAATTATAATTCTACATTATTGTTCATATAAAAGTTAAGTCCAACTAGAGAGAAAAAATTACATTTATAAAATGTATACTAAAATTATCTACATAAACAACTGGTATGTTTTTAGAAACTCAGAATAGAGATTATACCTTTAATACATACACACAGTACATTTAATGCATAAACAGAAAGATTACATTTTTAACACAGAACATCACGACAGAAGAGAAAAGGTAATGCATTTGAGAAAGTACAGCATACATAAACAGTGTCAATCTAGAAAAACTATCATTCTGGAAAAACAAAAGGGACATCACAGGGAAAACAATGAGCAAATGGTGCCTCAAGTCTATAGCTAGCGGGTAGTGTGGATACTAACGGGAGTGAACAATTTGCTACCCTCATCTCCAGCTTTAGCTTTGTCATACTTTTAACTGCTTTTTACCTCTCCTGGGTTGTAGGGAAAAGTAGAAAAAAATTAAAACACAACGATGTCAATCCAGGAACAAAGAAAAGGGTACATTTCCTTCAGTGGTTTTGTCTTTTTGATGTCTGTACATCAATCCCATTCAGAATCTAGGAAGAAAAACAGACAACTGATCATCTGATAAGATGATCCTGGGAAAGAAGAAAGCTCGTGGAAACCGAGAAGTCGGATACACAGCCGCGTCAGAGGGATCTAAGTGTGCAATCTCAAATTCCTCTGTTTATAGGATAAAAGCTCCGTTAAAATCCGCCAGTGCTTACCATAGACATTACCGCCTTTCCTGTCTGATCTTTTCAGGAAAGTTATCTCTGGTATGTAGAGAAAACGCTGAGCCTAAACTCTGGGAAAGTTTGGTGTGGGTGCATTGCAAATCAGTGTGATGTTTTATACTAAACCGTCCTATACTTTCACCATGACTGCAAGCTGTTTTGGACATGGGCAATAGAAACTGATCTGGCGTGGGGTGTACTTCAGGTGGAGTAGACTTGGCTGTAATGCAGTGACAAACACGCTTCAGAAATCTGTGTACCGTTTACTCATGAGAAACACCAGAAGGCTTTCTTAAAGCTATCTCTCATCTTGTGACTCAGGATTCAAAGATGCTTTCATCTTTCAAGACCAGCTCATTGCCCTCCCTTCCTCCACCTACTAACTCCTTGTCATTGAGGCTCAAAGGTACCCCACCCCAAAGGACTCATCCCTGTAATAAATACTTCTTTCTAAAACTAAGGAGACAGATGCCCATAACTGACACAGAAAGAGAATGCAATGATAGAAGATTTTGTGGTATTCTCATGAGTTGGGTCTGGGAGGGTTTTTTTTTCATTCTGTCTTTTCAATCCAACTTCAAAGGAGCACATGATCTGCAATTTTCTTGTGTGACCAGGAAGAGGAAGATGTGTGGTAAGTGTCTAGCCACAAAACATACTGTGGTCAACAATAGAGCTGTGTGCTTCCTGTCATGGATCAATAAAGTCACAACTTTATCTTCCTTAATGGGAACAACTCAATCCTTCCCCCATTCAGTATGTGTAGGTCAAGATCCGTTGTTTGTAATTTCTCCTGGGTGTCGTTAGCTTTTCATGGTCAGGTGTCTTATAAACCACATTGATATGTTTATGATATATCATAATATATGATATATATTATGTCTAATCAGGAAAAACTGTGATGAATATTCTGAATTGAGAAGGAAAAAAGTAAGAGCAATGCTGTTTAGTGAAGGTATTGTCCTAGCCCTAGTTTATGTAGAACACAGTCCTTATCCTATGCTAAAACTATAGTTCTGATGCTTTTAGAAGAAAAAAACTCTTAAAGATAATAATTTCTATGCTAAAATAATTATAAATGCATTAATACCTGTAATCCCTGAGTAACAACAAAATATACTTAAACATTTCTTGCTAATACTTAAAAAATAATGCAATTGTTCTATCCACGTGACAAATCTTTCATTGTCCATTCATTTCATGAGATTGTAGCATAAAGTCAGAACTAATCAAAAGAGAGCTTGGGGTGTAGTAACTACTTAAAGAGAAGTACTGTTATTGTTATCACTCATATTAAGAATTATATATCAAGTAGACAGAAGCTATTTGTTGAGCAAAACCCACATGGGGGTGCCAGATCATCGAGTTGACTTACAAAGAGGCACGGTGTGCTGGAGAGCCGGAGTCATGGCGCTGGCAAGATTTGATCTTTTGACGGTTGTGTGGAACAGCTGTCCCATGTTCCTCTGATACCATATTAGAAAGTTTTATTCTGAAAAAAAAAGAATCTTTGAATTTTCTGATCTGCGAAAGCATCACCCCAAATCCCAATTCTGCTTTTATCTTCCTGTAGCTTCTCTCTCTCTCTCTCTCTCTCTTTCTCTCTCTGTATATTTGATTTTCTCTGTACCACTGTCTCTAGCTCTCTCTTCATGTTTGTCTTCATATTTTCCATTCTCAAATATGCAACAGTCATATCCAAATAGTGCCCATCTTAATGACTTCATTTAATTTAATTATCTTCGTAAAGATCATATTTCCCAATAACCTCATATTCTGATATACTGAGCATTATGATTATTTCATTTAAGTTGTATATTTCATTAATAGACAACAGTTATTATCAATAATTTCTGGAATTATTTGTATCAGAAATCATATATGCATTGTTTATTTTTTTGGGAATAATTATGTTTAGTATATAGCACAGTACTGCTTTGTGCTCAAGAAATTCTTATGTTGCCTCCTGTGTCCCAGAGTTCAAGATACCGTCTGTTCAGGGTGTTTCACAGTAAACAATTGGCTATGGAAGAGCAAAGAATCAGGTGCACCCAGCATACCGCTATAGTGGTTGTCTCTAAACAGGGGATCTCCATGCTTTAACTATACAACAACTATTGTTTCACCCAAATCTTCTACTAAGAAATTGTTTCATATTGTTGTTTTTTTTTTTAAAATGGTCGGTTTAAATGAACACTGAAAGAGTAAGAGCCAGGAAAAAAATCATTGAGGCATTAATTTAATTAAAATCAATATCTTCATCATTTTTGGTGTTTATTGATGTTCAGTCCTATTATTCACTTGAGTAGGTGAAACTTCCTTATAATTTACGAGGTGGTGACCTGGAAACCTGTGCTGCAATGCACAGACATTATTTTAGGTCACAGATATTGTCAAACAAATAGTTAGTTTTACAGGAACTATAAAAACAGTATTTGTGAATAAAAGACACAGGGCTGTTTGTTTTTTATTGAAACTGCACTGGCTTTATTTGCTCTGACTAAAGTGTCCCCATCAAGGAAGATGGGGTTGCCCTGAAAGCAGTCATCTGAAGAACAGAAAATTACCCCCTGCCCAGTTCAGAATGTCGCACGTCACACCTCTTGATAAGTTGCTTGCCCAGGATGGCATTATTAAATATTGTCTTCTTACTTCTACCTGTTTCTTGTATTTTTGTTGAAGAGTGGATTATATATATTCATAAAGAATATTTGATTTAGTAAACAAATAAACGAAAATCATAGGAGATCTACATTATAACTCAATCAGCATTTTCTGTCCTTTAAAATGAAAAGTTCAAATTAATCATCATGTTCTTTTTGGACTCTTTTTCATGTTTACACTTCAGAGTATTATTAGAATATTAAGTTATAATTTCAATTTTATTAACACCACGACATAAATATTGACCTTCACAGAGTTATCTGTTTTAGTTTAAGTAAGTCTATTGTGTAACATTTCAATCAAGTCAGGAGATAATTTAAGAGCGTAACCAGGTCTGTATTTTGGTTAGTTATCAAGTAGTAAGCCTAAAAAGACTGGCCAGGTACAGGGTCACTACACACTATATCTATTTACTGATTGAGAGAGAAGTTGATAATTCAGATTCTAGAATGGCATTCTCTGTATAGAAGTCTGGGTTTTGTTCTATTTTACCGGTAAAGGGATTTTTTGCTTCACCATTAAAATAATACAAAACTCTCCAAATCCCCATAATGGTGTCATTTATGAAATGTGTGCTTGTAGCAAAGGCTTTGATCAGAGAAGAGGACCAGAGAGAAGGGGTTTTCTACTTTAATTCCTGCCATCCTGGGAAAGCAGGGACAGGATATATGACAGTATGTCAGAGGAAAAGTAAACTTAAAAGTTAAGCAAGTATAGATAGGCTTAGAATATGTAACCCAAACAAGATATTGTATTGGACATATATACTTAGGTCTTTAGTCATTCAACTTTTACCTTGTGGCCAAGTGAGAAGGAAATGAGAATTTTGTAGGCACATACACAGAAGAATATAGTCATGAACTATACTTCTTACTAAACCTGTGTTTTGGAGGCTCCTGTCAGATATTATAATGAGCATATAACTGGATCATAAAAATCTAAAAGCAATACTCCATGGTATATTAAACACAAGCAGCGTTTCTCATAACTGCCAAAAGCATGATTAATGGCCAATTGTGTGTGTGTGTGTGTGTGTGTGTGTGTGTGTGTATTATCTAGACATCTGGATAGAGAAGGCTCAAGAAATCTTGATTATGCCTAGTCTTCTCTGCATAGAGTCATTCAACATACAAAGAAAGAGAATGAAGGAAATACTTTTCAACATCTGACAGACTGGGAACACTATCAATAGCGTTTTGTAAGTCTGTAAGGCAAGGAGGCACCACACAACCAACAATTGACTAAGTTGACCCCCCCACACTTAGAAATTCAGTCTAAAACATAGTCTTTAAACATACTATTTAGAACTACAGATTTACCTATTTTAGAACTCACGGAGTCGTAGGGACTGCAATGAGAAGAAGGCAAAGGGACCAACGGAGTTATCTAGGTAGAGGCATCCCAACTAGAAATCCGGTTTCTGTTTGCATGTCCAGACACTCTCCATTTTCTTAAGGTTCTGTAACTGCTCCATATTGTAGAAGCATGCGTGATAGAAGGAGACTGCCATTGACTTTCTACACAGCAGACATAGAGGTAGTGCATCTCCAGCGACAGTACATGCATGGGAAGTGCATGCATTTTGTCATTCTGAACACTCCTTTTCTCCCTGAACAAATGTAAGTTCGTTGGGTCAGAGAGAGCAGTAAGCAAGAGAATCATGACAGCTAGCCTTTATTTCCAGGGTGATGCAGTTTTTGTCATTTTGGTTGGTACCATTCAGGTGTGGTTTCCTAGGAAGGCAGAATAGATACGGAAACTGGGGACCAGCCGTGGCATTGGAGTTCCCATGTGTTTTAGAATCATCAAAGTGTATCTCCTCACACAGATGCCAAGTCATCACATGATACGGAGAGAAGCTGGTGTTTACAGGTGAAAACACATATGCTTTCTATTTTTCATTTTTATGAGCAATTGGTGTTCTTTGCAAGCCACTGCACCTAACATAGAGAATTTCATTTATTTATTTGATCATTGATTCATTTATTGCTTCAAATGTGTGTGGTATCTGTGATTGTGCACGTGTGTATTCATGTGGGTATGGACACATGTGCATGGGGAGATTTGATAGTTAGAGGTTGATATTGGTATCTTCCTTGTTTTCTCTCCACTTTGCATATTGAAGCAGGATCTTCTTAAACACAGAGCTTGTCCACTCAGCTAGTCTATCTATCCAGCTTTCTCTAGACATCCCTCTGTGCCCATTAGTGCTGGGCATACAGCTGAGCCATTGAGGCCCCTGGCATTTATTTGGGCGCTATGGATGTTCACTCAAGTCCTTAAACTTGCTTGCCCATGAAACCTTTAACACAGTGAGCCATCTTCTCAGGTCTTCAGACAGAGCGGTTTTAACTTGTTTTGTCTACCGAAAGTAAAATTTGACTTTAATGCATATTCATGGATATTAGCCAGTATCAACCAAACAAACAGAAAGTGTTGCTTCAAATATATTCTTGTTACAGTGATCAAATACCCCCAAAAAAGCAGATCCAGGGAGAAAGGCCTTGTCTTGGCTCACAGTTCAAGGGAAATCCTTAAACTTAGTGGGAAATCCTGCTGCCAAGAGCTTGAGACAGCTGTCCACATTGCATCTGCAATCAAGAAGTAGAAATGGTGAATGTCTGTGCTCAGTTAATTTCCACCTTTATATTCTATCCATTTCCTAAACCCGTGAAATCATGTTGCTCCTCCTTAGAGTGGATATTCCCAAAAGAATTAATATGATCAAGATAATCTCTCACAACTATGACCAGAAAATACCCTCAACTATTTTCTGTCATAGATGTGCCTGGAGGCTTGTCTCTTACGTGATACTAAACTTTTGACAAATTGACAGTCAATAGTAACCATCACAAGGGTAAAACTAGCAACAAAAAGAAGAACATATAAATGTTTTACCTAAGGCTATTTTAAATTTTATGCTTTTAATTTTGTGTTGTTTTGCTGACTGTGAGGGTAGTTTGATGAAGGTACACATGGATAACCACACGTATACTTTCACATCTCTATGCATGTTAAAACCAAAGCCATGGTTTCCATACTTGAAGTGATTAGCTAGATTACGCCTTGTGTTGTCCATTATACCAAAGACCTGAGAAAAACAAACTTGAGAGGCCAGGTTTATTGTGATTCATGGTTTCTGTACATGATCATTCATATTGAACACCATGGCAGAAAGCATACAGCTCAAGGCAGACGAAAGCAGATACCTACGGGAATTCCACAAGGAAGAAGAGAGATTAGGGTAGGGAAAAAAAGGAGAAGTAGGAACAGAAGGAGGATGAGGGAGGAAGAGATAGAATATTGTATTCTTATGAACACATCTTTAAACCTTCAATTAAGTCCCACTTCCTGACACTTCTCAATGTATTATCAGAATGTGTATCCATCAGTATGTTAATAGATCTCACAGCTCTCGTAATCTAATCACTTTCCAAAGCCCAATAGCTAGCAACTAGGTCTTTACCAGCAAACCTAAATGTTTATCTTCATGAACTATCTTTATGGACTATGGCTTTATTTTATTTTAATTGCATGCAAACGACTTTAGCAGATACATTAGCATCCAGGCCATCAGAGTCCTCACTAATCTCTGCATCAGACTTGTAAGCGGTATAGTTCTTAAGGCTATACAATAATTTCAGAGAGCATCAGTGTCTGCAATCCACAGACTAGGTATTCTTTTCTCAAGGGAAAGACAATAATAATAATAATGATAATAATAATAATAAATAAAATGTAAACAAAACCATAAAAACCTAATTATAGAAAAAAACAAACTATTGATAGAAAAGAAATAAACTTTAAAGACAAAAATGACTGGAAGAAACTGTTCAATTTTTTTCTACACCTTTTTAGGCAATTCACAGAACTGTAGAGAGCAGACGAGACATGTGGAAATATTAACAGACAAGAGTATAGTCTTTCAAAAGCCAGGAAGGTTTGTAGCTAGAAGTAAGATTTGTTTTGGACGCACATTTCACAAATACAAATATAGAGCAAAACAGGTCTGGCATCCCCTACACCAACATACTGAGTAACAATTGTAGAATAAATTCAGGACTGAAGTGTGTGAATAACTAAAGTCTTTTAAGAGTTTCCCTTTTCAACTGCCATCCAAAGTATGTAGATTTTGTTTTTATGGCTGCCAAATGACTTCAAAAACATCCGAGGACAGCAGCAGTAGAAATTCTATGAGATCTCAGTCCTACACTGATGTGGGAGTCCCCTCTGTGTGCTGTGATTGCCATTAATGAATAAAGAAACTGCCGTGGCCTGTTGATAGAGCAGAACTTAGGTAGGTGAGGAAAACTGAACTGAAATCTGGGAGAGGGAAGGCAGGGAGAGGGAAAGCAGGGAGAGGAGCCATGGAGCCCCCAGAGTCAGACATGCCAAAACTTTGCCAGTAAGCCACGGCCATGTCAATAGGACTAGGTTAAATTAATATGTAAGAGTTAGCCAACAAGAAGCTAGAGATAATGGGTCAAGCAGTGATTTAATTAATACAGTTTCTCTGTGATTATTTCAGGTGTAAGCTAACCAGGCTGCGGGGAAGAACAGCGGCCCAAACCACAAACAGTACACAAAGAACAATATGCAACTAAGGAATGCAGAGAGGGGGAAATGTTGTTTTCCCTAGGAAAGAACACGCAGAATGATTACCTAATACCAAATGGTCATCCCTGAAATCAGGCATAGAATTAACATTATAAAGACTTAGCAGATCTGGGCGGTGGTGGCACATGCCTTTAATCCCAGCACTTGGGAGGAAGAATCAGGTAGATCTCTTTGAGTTTGAGGCCAACCCGGTTACAAGAACTATTTCAAGGACAGACTCCGAAGCAACACAGAGAAACCCTGTCTCAAAAAACCAAAAAAAAAAAAGACTTATCAGGTTTTATTTATGCATTTAGAAATATATATTTGTATACATATATAATATATAAGATCTATTATTTACATATGATTAATATACACATAAATCATAGTATTCATTAATATTTATATAATATATATCAATATACATTGTATATGAGTATATAATACACATAGCATTAGTAATAATTTGTAAATAAATTTTGCATTTATAGATTGTATTAATAATATGCATATAAATTAAGCATTAATATGTCACATATTTGATTAGAATGCATTATTATATATAATATATATTATATATGCAATTATTTTCTGTTACAACAATTAACGAAAAAAAGCCATGAATTTGAAAGCAATTAATGAGGAGTATATGGGAGGGGTTGGAGGGATGAACAAGTGGGAAATGATATAATTTCATAAAATAAAATATTAGAATGGTGATATAATAAAAAGATGATTTAGCAGTCTATATATTGTTTCAAGAAATGTTGAAACATGGATAAGAGTCACGAAGTGTAATTATTAAGTTATTCAGAGAATAAAAAACTGCCATGTCCCCTGTTCTACCCCAGGTACAAGTCATGCCAACAGACGCAAGAAGAAGATGCTTCCTGGCTCCTAACCATGGACATTTTAGGTTTCCATGAAAATTTATTCAGTGCTTTCTATTCTTGACACTTTGTTCTGTACTACATCAGGGGGCCAAACCAAGATGGAAGCTCTCAAAAGACTAGTACGAGTTTGAATTGCATCACGCCTTTACTAGGATTAGTGTTCCTTAGCTGAAAAAGGAAGTGGAGAAAAGATTTAAAATAATTAGTTAACGGCTAAATAATACTTCATGCCTCCTGAGAGACTTGTACGCGGAAACGCAATACTCAGTAAACTGTTGTCTGAAATGTCATCATGGAAATAAACCGAGATTCACAAACATTTCATAGCACAGAACACTGATCACTAAGAGGCGACAACCAAAGTGGCAAACACGAACACTACTTCTAGACATGGTGATAATGCTATATTGCACGTATGTCACATATAATAAAACGTACAATTTAAAAACGACAAGTATAAGCAGGATGGAAATGACAGATTCAACGGGGTAAAAGCACTATTCTCTATCCAAATTGCCCAACCCTCCTTAGCCCACATGACGTGACTCAAGAATAAAATACAAAAGAATTGTCTTTCTACAACTATGCATCACTTGTGGTACTTTCAGCATCGAGTCACAGAAGCCCAGCAGAAACTGTGGCAAACAATTATCAATCTTATTAGGAAGGAAATGCAAACATATGCATAGTCTATACACAAAGCATATATGAAGTCTAGTGTAATTATCCTTTGCGTTTTGCATACGATTCTCTTTGTTTCATATTTCTCTATGGTTGAGGAATACTGATAATATAAGAAACTTAGATCCCACTACCGGATGAAATCAAAAAAACCTCCAGCGTAATGAGGGAAAGAAAAGTTCGGTGGCAGAGAACTATCAGATTGTAGTGGGGCAGAAGGATGATGGATCCAAGAGCACCTTTGTGAGATAAAAGAGACCCATACAGATATAGTTAGCTCATTTCTCTGAATGTGCTGGCATATTTGAAAGCATTATATTAACCAGGGAAGTAAAATAATCATAGTGTATAGAATTCTAGAAAGATGACCTAAATGAATATAATGTCTAGGAAAAAGCAGAATTAGATCACATTAGAATTCTCTATAGGTCCATTTCATAGCATATGAAATATTCATTTTTCCCTAAACTTATTCCCAGTGAATTATTTTATTACAATTTGGAAAATAGGTATCAGGTGGGGGTGACTTGCTTCTATCTATACATATACATGTATCCTAAAAAAATCTGTTAAATTGTTACTTTTCTTTCAGTAATTTATGGAAAAAGTTTTATAGGATAGAAAATAAAATTCACCACACAAGTATAAACATTATTCTGGTGAATTATAACGACATCCATAAAATTTATGTGCAAGGTAATCTGCTAGATGCTTATTCAAATGTGGAAGAGCAAAGTAAAACGTTAAACCAAACATCTGGGACCGGAATCTGTGTAGTCAAGAGGGCTGTGTATTTGCATGTCAATTATCATCGCGCCCTTGAGGAACCCTGGGTTTGAAAACACAAATATTTCTCCCATTCATTAACTTGGCATGAATGTCCAAAATCAGTGGTAGATGGCAGTTTACAGTGAGATCTAATTCATGTTGGAGACTTATTCATTTCATGTTTATAAGGTTTGTTTGTTTGCCCCCCCGCCCCGCCCCTTGCCAAAAATCTTATCCTAGATACCTTTGTAGTTCTTCTGAAAGAAAGTATAAAATTTAAAGTATGTTGATGCTTCCAAATCTGAATATTTAATTAAGCAAGTCAAAGTTTCAGATGGTTAAATTTTTATCTTGGTTTAGTCTTTGGGGTTGAATATTACAGGAATCAACTTGTATGAATTTAAGCCAAAAATAGCCAACACAGAGAGATTGGGAAAACTCTCTCCTGAGGAGCCATTGGCATCTCAGTGCCTTGCATGTCTGAAGCACTGTTGCCCCCAAGCCGGCCTAGAGCAGGAAGTGGAATATGGCGCTGGGGACTCTTCTCCGCAGCTGTGGTTACTCTTTTGCTCCTTGTCTCCCTCCTGCCGCTGCAGTAGTTGGTGGGTTTTTGTTTGTTTGTTTGTCAGAACAAGCGGAAGGGGAAGATCTACTCTGGCTTCCTTCAGAAGTTATACCCAGGAAAGAAAAATATATCAGCTGGAGCTTGAAGATAGAGCTTGGTCTAGTCAGATCAAAACTCAGGCAGCAGAGACCATAAGCCCACCCCACCTCGAATTGTCTACTTCCCCTAGCTATGTCCTACCTCCTAAGTGTTTCACAGTCCCAAGCAACACTACTAGCTGGGGCCAACCTTCCAAAATTGGCGAAGTTTGTTTCGCCAATATACCACAACAGCTACTTAACCCCATCACTTCTTTATTAAGGCAACAGAATACACCAAAATTCTAGAACTTTTACATATTCACTCAACAAGCTCACATGAAGATTTCAACTCTTTACATAAACTCTGGATTACTAAAAACCTTTGGCCCACCAGATTTCAGACATATATTCTTTTGGGGCCATGTATACTCTATAAGAACATGAAGCCAGGCATCTTAGATAAACATCGCTGCTATTTCCTGTACTGAGTATTCTGTCTCTGAGGCTAAGAAATCAGTTCCCAAATGAGACAGGATCAGCCTGATTTTACCGTTTATTTCTATGATTTTGCTAGCATGCTTTGTATGTCCAACACTGGGGAACCCTTATAATCAGAGAACTTACTAAGTAAATGAGTTGAAATGGGATGGCCTTGGTAATGACAGGCTGACATAGAGAGAGTTTCCTGTGTATTTCAACAAAATAGGACATGTTTTCGTGGATGTACATCTTGTCAGTGTCCAAGAAGAGGCATCTCAAGGCTAATGGTATCTTCTTGTGAAAGACATCTACAACTGCGCTAACACGATGGCACCACAGAGTGGTATGCCTGACCAAGTTGATCCAAGTGAAATACAATACAAGTGATCATGACTCAGACACTCATGTACCCGTAGACAATATTGAGGTATCTAAAACAAGTCAAGAAATGTTGATGTGTGCTTTGATTTGAATTCTGTAAGAATGGAAGACTGAAAAATTAAGTGTTGATATTGGCATCTTTCAATGAATATGACCACTAGCAACTTCCCATTTGCATTTCTCCAGGGCAGAAAGTGTAAGAGGAGAGATACCCCTCTTTCTCAAGAATTTTAGGAAAATCTCTCAGGACCCACTGCCATAGGAACAATGTAGAATCCCAAGACAACCACAACAGACAGAAGGAAGAAAGAGTTTAATTGGTTAGGGACTGAGAAAGGTTGCACTTGCAACCCACCTATATAATAGTATGGAAGAGAGGGAGAGAGACAAGGAGGAGGGGATAGGAGGAGGAAGGGAAGAAGGAGGATGAGGGAGAGAGGAAGGAAGAGGGGGTGAAGGAGGGGGAAGATGAGGTGGGGAGAGAGAGAGGAGGAGATGTTTCTTAAAAGATACCATTATTAGTATTAGCAGAACGGTCAGGCAAGCCTAAGAGAAATCTGTAGAGTGGAAAGGGTACTCTTTCAGAGTTAACTATGTCCTTTATATTTTTTCATTATACAGTCGTAGAAACATAGCTCTTCCTGTTTTAAATAGTCACCCCATGATTCTGCTCTATCAGAAAAGTGACTTGAACTAAAGGAAAATCTTAAGCCATACTTGTCTTTTTTCCTGGATTATGTAAGCATTTGAAAATAAAGAGAACAAGGACTTTCCAAAAACAATGTGCAGAGATATTTTTCATAGACTTTTGATAATCTGATAAATTAAGTAGACACACTTAGATAAGTATTTATGCATACAAGCTCCTGCTAGGGATGGAGAGGTTCGTGAATTCAGTGAGTGAATATTTCAGAGCCCTCTTTGCAAGAAAGATGGTAGTCATTTTCATAGCTATGAAGCTGGAGTGGCATTTAGGTGAATTTGTTGATCTCTATTTTTAAACTGTTGAAATTATTTTAAAAAATACTCAAGAATGATAAACATGACTTTTATACTTGATTTTTGTTCAATCCATTGTCATAATCTCAAACCAAAAACAGATATACTGTGTTCAATTTCTGGTTATGAGCAAACACTCAGCCTCTCTGAAGCTTTTGAATATTACTTACTTTCATAATCAAGAAGGTAGCTTGATGTCTCATAAGATTAGCCTGGGAGTTTTCTTGGTCAATATCTTGATTCCCTTTAGAAAAAAAGAGAAGTACATTTATAAAACAAATCCTAGAACAGACAGACATGAAAACAACCCACTTATTCTATGAGTTGAATTTTTGTACTGTGCTAAAAAAAATTAGAAATTTTGCAGAGAAATTTATTCCTTCTACTGTACCTTCCCTAAATATTGCATTGATCAAGAATTAATTTATTTATGACTAAAGGAAACACGTCACAGTTTCTCTACTTCTATAAAGAGGATTGTAAATATCTGTCTATCTCCCTCTCTCTTTCTATCTATCTACCTATCTATCTATGCAAATGCAAAAATGCTATATTTGTAGGTTTTCTTGATAAAATACAAGGTATCCAGTTAAATTTGAAGTTCAGGTAAGTTCCAAATATAATTAAGGTAATTACGTACCAAGCAGTATATGGAGCATATTTTTCTCAAATAAATTATGTCTTTTGACATTCCTATTTAACTGGACCTTTTGCATATTAATTGTAAGACTACAACAACCCTATTCGCTTACACAGGATATCATCTCATTCATCTGTAAGTTAACACTTAAGAGCAACTATTTGAAAACATATACAGCTATGTTCTCGCTGAATTTGCAATCAAATTTCTTCTACTGTGCCTTTCTTAATCAGTTCCTGCTAATATGCCTTTTACTTCTGAGATTTTAGGAAGGAGAGTAGAAAGAGGTAGGTGTTCATTTCAGATCGATTACAGATCAATCCTTTAAATATTTGAGAAGCTATTACTCAGAGTTGCATGTTCTCTACTTTTAAATTAACTATCATTTTATGTGGAATTTAGAAGGATTTCTTATAAGAAGCAGAAACTTTTCTAAACAAACCAATATGTGGGCATTAAGTCTTGTGAGTCTCAAAAATGAATAATTCATTTTTACGTAAATGAGAAATTATTTTGTGCGGTTACTTACACATTTGCACATGTATAGTTAATAGTCATTGGCGACACGGGGTATTAGTTGTGAATTGTGGTTTTCAATATCGCAGACACATTTGTTGCTGTGGTTTTGTAATGCCGTTTCCTGATGCTTTCCTCAACTGTGGTTTTCATAATCATTGTTTGGGAGCCATGTAGCTGTGGCGTGGAGCTGCTAGATGCATTTGGACAGAGATAATTACTTATAGGTTTTGCTGCTTTTTATTTTTTAACCACGGTGAGTTAAACAAGAGAAAATAAAAATTGAACCTTAAATATAACTCATAGTCTCATTTTAAAATGATGAGAAAATAGATGTAGGAGTATTCAGTTTATTTCATTCATATACATTTATTTCATTAATTAAATAAATATAATTTATTTCATTAATATACATATATTTATATGGTTATGCATTTCGATAAACCAATATACTGTTTATAATAACATAGTCTGGTTATTTTATCAATCTTGCCTTAAATTTCCTGACTTTTGTTCCTTTCAGTTTTTAAAGCAAATGTTTAGCACAGATTTATTTGTTTCTTTTTTGCTTTGCATATTTAACTATTTAAGATGCCAAAAGAAACACTAACTGCCGTGTTATTTTAATTCCAGTGGACATTCCTTTTGGGTGACATAAGTCAGCCAATTCTGTCAAAGATCTATGAAAACTGTAATGTACAATAAATCCAATTCTAAGATTCTCAGCATGCCAATTTATCGGTAATGAATTGAGAATGAAGGAGGCAAAAAGTCGATGTCTCCATTTGCTTATTCACCCCACAACGTAAGTACAAATAACCTTGCTTTTCATCGACTTAGTATCTTAATTTGCTGCCTTTTCAGGGCAAGGACTTGGTCATTTAGCGCATTTTCCATTGCAAAGGATCATGCACTGCACTGTTAAAACCTCATATGGCCATAGTGCTAATGGCAGTGTAATCAAAGTCACAATTGGTCTCCAGCCTGGTGTTAAGATTTGCTCAGCCATACCTTTCATGAGGTAAAGCTTTACACCTTTAGAAGATGTCCTGATGGGGAACAAATGACACCGAGTAGAGAGCTTCCTGCACCAGGAGCATCCTACATTATGCTCCACCAGTCCAGGCTCTGTGCTGACCCCAGACCCTTTTAGAGTATCATTTGATGATGCTCATGTCTATGCTCGTCTGATAACAAAAGGGACACCATTTCGGGTCAGAGTGGACAATTTCACAGCCTCCTGGGGGAGACATTGGCAGTATCTAGGGAATGCATGCTAGCGATCATAGGAGTTTATTAGTGAACGCTATTTACATAAAGTAGCTGATTCCACACAGCCACATCCCTTCTCTCACACCTGCAAGTACTGCATTTAGTACTCGGTGTATCGGAAACTGTGTGAAACTAAGCGAACCTCTCTTACCTTAACTTGACTCAAATAATGCTTTGCGATCATTTCAAAACATGTTCTCTTGTGCCTTGCCATTTCCCAAACCGCAAACACACAACCAACAAATAGGAAAGAAACAGAATCCAATAAACTAAAAGAACCAGGAAATAGTTGTTGGATCTTACCTGATTGAAAAATTATGACAATAATACATCTTTTATTAGCTCCACGGTGCTTCCCTGTGGCAGAACTATGAGAATGGACGGTCACGGGGGCAGGGTGGGACTGCAGAACTTCCACAGACTTCACACAAAGTTAGTATTTCGTGTTAGAGCTCATAGTTCCTTTCCTACCTAGCGCGAATCATCCAGCTAACCATCGTCCTTTTGGATGTGAGGAAAATATCTGCCTGACTCCCGATTCCGGGATTTCACTGTTTCAATGGAAACTCTCAAGCAAGATGCAGAAAAGCGCTACGAGTACAGCTCAGCACCCCATCCTTGTGGGCCCAGTGGGGGATGGTTCGCGTCCGCAGCAGTCTCCCGGGAACTCTGACAGCAATGAAATGGTCTCCTGAGAGCCTGGGCAGATGAGAGGACTGAACGGGCCCCAAGACACACAGTTGGCGTTTGTGATCAGCTGGCTTTCGCCGGGGACTTTGCCAGTGGCCTAACCTTCCTGCCAAGAAACTGGAAGGGCGGAGGGCGGGGGCTCCTGGAGGGGAGCGGTAACTGGAAGCACAAAGTTTATGGAAGGAGACTGAGATTTCTTTGTGCCCTGCTAGATGGGCGAGGCATTAGGGAGGAGTGTGAGGGGGTCCGTTGGAAGAGGCTGTTGGAAGAAGTTGCTGGAAGGGGAGCGGGGGAAGGGTGGCCTGGCAGCTGCCCAGCATTGACGCGGTGACAACTGCAGAAGGTGCCCCCCCCTCCAGACCTCACGTCTCCCTCAACCCCATCAACCCCTTCAACTCCCACCCACGCCGCGATCCCCTTGCACTCCACGCGACCGAGGCCCGGCCGTGAGTTTGCATCCGGACTGGCTTTGGATGCAGCCAATCCTCCTTTCGCTGATGGCATAGTCTCCCCTCCCCACTGCCCGGGCGCGCCCCTCCTTCGCGCGCCTCGCCACCTCCCG